GTAGTCCATCGGTAGTGCGGGAGCCCACTGTGTGGATCTACCCACGATACATAGGAATGAAGCACATAGAGACATATGCTGAATGCCTGGAGCGAATTCATCGCAAAGGCGAGCGGATGTCCCATGCCCTGAGGCATTGTGCGCATCATCAAAGCCAGCTGGTGGACATTGATCGGCGCGGCGCCGTCGCTGCTCGCTGCACATTCTTGGTTGTAGGTTCGAAGCCCATATCCAGTATGCTTTGCGAACATGTACATCAGCTTGCACACCCTACGTAACGTGAGCTCTCCCAACAAGTCGGATTGGTCGGGTGCTCTGCCTGACATAGGCAACTTGTGGTAGTAGTCCTGGTTCACCGTATACCACTGCTGAATTCTTGTATCTGTCACGGCCTGGTAAGGCGTCTCCACGGAGTTGATGAGGACGGCGAGATTGTAGTAGACATCCGCGTTGACGATGTTCCTGGTCGCGGTGTTCAAATCGAACCGAACTTGTTCGTCGAGGAACAGGAAGCCATGGAAGCGGAATCGGTTGCGGAACCTGAAGGAATTCCAGAACCATCCGTCGTTGGTGATGACGATCCAGAACAGGAACCTGATGAAGAAATGGACACGGAACCAGGAGAGGACTTTGATGACCAAGTACCAGATGCGGTGGCACAGGAACGACGTCCCGTCCTCATTGCCGGTCAGTCTTTGAACATCGACCCTGAACTGCAGATCGCCCGCACCGCCATGCAGCCGCCCTACTACCACGGAAAACGGAACGCCCATTGCATCGACGCCAACATGGCTGCTCTTTCGTACATGGCATTCGTTGTATGCAGAACCATCTACAAAGCTTGGTCAGGATTCGCGAAATGGGCGACCATGCCGTTGTTTCAGATGAGAGAGAATTTCGCGCACGGCCAACGCTATGATGTGCTCGGAAAGTGGGGAACTTTGGCTGGAGTGGACAAAGAAACAGGTGTGAGCAGGGACGTGACTGATGAGGAGATCCTTCGCTTTGCTAAGGAGCCTGAAAACCTCAAGTCGTATGATCCCAACGGGACTTACACTTTGAAGCGCTTCCGGACGAACCAGATGCTTTCGCTATTGACACGGGGAGCCAACATGATGGGAATCGGCCGAGATAACTTCAATCCAACCACGTACTTGAAGAGTAACAAGGATGAAGACGTGAAGGCAATGCACTTTTGTTGCCTAAATGTCCTATGTGAAGTTATCCCGATGGTGACAGGACATCAACAATTTTCGGTACTGCGAAACACGCCAACTGGACCAGTGGACTTTCTGTACATCGACCCGGTCGGCATCCTCTTGACTCATGCAGATTATTCCGTCCAGACCGTTGGACTGCTGGTGCACCACAACGTGCAAATGCCAGCGCACTTCATGGACAGATTGGTCAAGTCTAGAGTTGAACGACAGCAAAATCCGAATACTCGACGTCCTGAAGCATTACATCACATTTCGGCCGAAGAGTATCTCCCTCCGGGTGGTACTTCCATCATGGACACGCCCGTCACCACGGAGGAACGTGCAAGCGCTTCTTCGGCAAAGGGACCTTCAAAAGGGCGTGAGAGAACCGGAGATGATCAACATGGAGGCTGGAACGCCAACTCTTACCATGACTACATCGCCGGCAAAGGCCGAAACAAAGGCAAGGACAAAGGAAAGCAGAGGAACCAGTATCCAGAGGAGAACCTCCGGCCCTGGGAACGCGATCCTACGTCAACGCGAAGATGGCGGTGAGACAACACATGATCTACCTCATCTTCAAGATTGTGACCTCTGTGCTTCGCACGTGGAATTCCATCGCGAATGCTTCTTTCTTCGGTGACGCCTGATTCGTTTGCCATTTCAGGGGATCGTTACCGACGTAGATGAGTGTCACAACGTTTCTAATTGGGATGCAAAAGCTCTGATCTATATGTCAAAGTTGCGGCGGAACAAATTTTCTGATATTCCTATCGTGCCATCTTCCGGGTGAGCAGCGTCGGAGACGCAACTCATGGGGGGTGCGAACGGACTGCGATGCCTTGTCAAGTTCTAAGGTGTCACTATAAGAGCTGTGAGCAAGACCGTGTAAAGTGCAAGGGAAGGGGGCACGCTACGCGTCCCTCGTCTCTAGGAGTAGGCTTGTGGTAGTGTTACGCACACCGCAATGCCTATCCATCCTTTCAGTATGACCACCCATGCAACGTTTGGCTCAAGAATGAGCACAAGCTCCAGAAAGCATTGCCCATAGCTAAAGTGCTATAATCTTCTGTGATTCTCCGAGTGGACAGAGCTATCCCGTGCACAGACGATCCACCGCCGGCCGTGAGTGTGCAAAACGAGCGAACGTTGGATCTGCCCGCATAGGAGTGCGTGTGTGGAAGTGGAAGTAACGGTGATCCAGTCTGTAGAAGGCAACCACGCCAACAGTCAATACAGCTCTTTGTGGGGTGAGCAACAGAGAACATTACCAGGATCGAATCCCCACGCAACTACTACTACTACTACTACTACTACTACTACTACTACTACTACTAATACTACTAATACTACTAATACTACTACTACTACTACTAATACTTCTGATACTACTAATACTACTACTACTACTACTACTACTACTACTACTACTACTACTACTCCTACTGCTACTGCTACTGCTACTGCTACTGCTACTGCTACTCCTACCACCACCACCACCACCACCACCACCACCACCACCACCACCATTACTACTGTTGTACTACTACTACTGTTGTACTACTACTACTACTACTACTACTACTACTACTACTGCTACTACTAGTAGGTTGACATCAGTTTCACGCCGACTCGCGCCGAAGAACCCGTTCGGCATGTACGAGTTGTGAGAGGGTAATACTAATACTACTAGTACTACTAACACTCGTACTAATTAATGCTTATCTTGTTTACAATTTGCAGACTTTCGGCATTTCGGTGTTGTTGGTCCTGCTGTTTGACGGCAGATTTCAAGGGGTGCTAGGGGTAGTTACCGGCAGCATCAGCGTGTCGCCAGCTGATTTGTCTGAAGGTAATAAGCTTGCTGCCAATCCAATCCGCCAATCCAGTCCCGATTTCACCTTTCAGTGAAGTGTTACGGAGTGCTGCTCTGAAACCAAGAGAATCTGAAAGCCGCAGATCACGCGTTATCACACGAATTCTGCTTGTTGACCTCCATTCTTGCATTTCCCGTGCCCGACTCAATGCCGAAACCCTCAACTGTGTGGAGCCTTGCCCTGCCCTGCACGAGAGTGGGCGTCGAAGCCTTCAACCATACAAGCGGAAGCCACGAACAGTCGCCAGTTGCCTCAGCCTGGTCCGGCGGCGGACTTTGAAGACTCGGCGTGGGGCCTGAGAAAGCCTTTGACTTTGTGTATACCTGCGTTTGGGCAGTTGCAGCCATAGTCGTCCTCATGGTCGTAGCCGTGGTCACATTCGTTTCCACTGTCGTGGTCGCAGCCCCAGTAGCGCAATAGCCATTGCGATAGTCGTACCTGAAGTGGAAGTCGTCGTCGTAGCCGTGACCGTTGGTAGCCACGGTAATAGTCGCAGTATTAGTGGTCGCTGTCGTAGCATTAGCTGCAGTAGCGGTACAAATAGTCGCCGTCGTAGAACTAGTCAGCAGTAGCAGATACAGTAGCGGAGAAGGGGCAAAGAGCATGAACAGGAGCAGGAGGCGGAGGAGGAGGAGGAGTAGGAGTCGTCGTAGAAGTAGTCGGGGAAGTAGTTGTAGTAGACGTAGCAGTCGCAAGTAGAAGTAGCAACAGCAGCAGTAGTAGCAGCCGTCGTCGTAGAAGCAGTCGTAGTAGTCGTAATAGTGGTAGTACTCGTTTGTAGAAGCAGCAATACCAGTAGTCGTCGTCGTAGAAGTTTCGTAGTAGGGGCAGGAGTAGAAGCAGTAGTAGTAGTAGTAGTAGTAGTAGTAGTAGTAGTAGTAGTAGTAGTAGTAGTAGTGGTAGTAGTAGTAGTAGTAGTAGTGGTGGTAGTAGTAGTAGTAATAGTAGTAGTAGTAGTAGTGGTGGTAGTAGTAGGAGTAGTAGTGGTGGTAGTAGTAGTAGTAATAGTAGTAGTAGTAGTAGTAGTAGTAGTAGTAGTAGTAGAGCTAGCAGCACAGCAGCAGCTACTACTGGTACTAATACCAGGTATATATAGCTGCGAATCTTACAATGGTGACAAGAAGCCCGAAGACTGGGTTCCCAGAATCATCGTTTCGCCCCTCTGCGGCTGAGTTACGCAGGACATCGATGAGAGAATCATCCTGCCTAACCTATATTCGATGTCGAAATGTCGGGTTTGGCGCTTGGAAGTGTCGAATCGATGGGTGTACTTGTGAGACGTAACGAAACTCATTCACGGCCGCCGAAATCAAATCAAACAGGATGAAATAGCAACGTGTTGGGGCCGGAGAAGACATTGCGAGTACTAGATTCATTCTGACACGGCTAACCTGCTAGGTGCAGTTTCAGGACGTGCAGGTTGCCAGTGTCGAGTTGTAGCTTTCTCCCGTCGCCGCAGCATGCATACATCGGCCGCGCTATGTAGTTTATGTCGTTCGCACCGCTGTTACGTGCAATTCGGTTCAATGGGTTTCAACAGACGAGTTTGTTGGGAGTCCAACTATGTCGTAAGCTTGGCTTGCTTGGGTAAGGCAGGGCTTGGAAGGCTTGCTTGCTCGTGCTGTCTTGGCCCTGTCATGAGTAGGGGCGATGTCTACCCAGAAGGACAATGCATCGATCTGAGAATATAAGAGTGATGTGGAGGCCTTAGCAACTCTTGGAACATACGCCAGCATGAATACCACATGCCCTCTGAAGTGGCCTCCCCGGCTTGCAGAAATGCTCTCACCCCTCACAGACCCGGCCTGATGAGGCTGGAGAACTAGCAATGCAGTCCTTGTCGTTTGTAGCTCTTGGTGCTTGCTGTTCGCCTGAATGTCGCACTCAAGAAGAGGCTGCGTGAGGCGTCGCACGGAGTCGGTTAATGCTGCTTGGGCGCAGCCAGCGGCAAGTGCAGGCCGGATCGCTAGCAACTTGCGGCTTTGGTTTTGGCAAAATGCAAGAAGGAGTGATTCAACAGAGTGTCCGAAATGCCATGGGCCATGTCTAATGGGCAGAGTCTAGCCATAAATGCTCTGACGGTATCATTGCATGGTACAACTCCATGACTGATTGTTTGGATTGTTCATCATGCGTCCACTGACCGGAGCCCGGCAAAGAGCCAGGACCTGAAGTCAGCGAACAGCCGCCGCAGCGGCGCATATGCCTGGACCTCTCCTGGCGTGGCTGCACAGCACCTGTCGTGTTCGGTTGATTGATGTGCCGAGTTCGGTTTGGGTTTGGGAATTTGCAGTGTTAAGTACATCAAGGGATGATCACCGAAGATGAAGGTTCTGGGGTGTGGAGCAGCAAGGAAACGTCATCAATCATGTGGTTGCTATCTTAGATGCTGCTGAAGGAAATATCGGGGATGTTTCGCGGCATTTGTGTGCAGTAAACCTTGAACTCTGCACTAGACTTCTACACGACAGAACCCGGGGAAATAGATGGGAGCGGGATTGTAGTGCTGGTACCTTTGTTTGACGGTACGGTGCCCCCTCTTCGAAATTTCCATACTTGAGTACCTCAACTAGACATAGTGTCTAAGTTTCTATTCCCCTCGCACACCAGAACCGACCCGTGGAAGGGAATCAGCTCTTCAGTTGTGAATTTCAGCCCTGACGCGCGAGAGGTGCAAGAATGCTTGCAGTCACAAGCTTAGGTGGGCATTGCTCCATCTGTTGCTGATCTGAGAGCAAAGCAGTTTTAGTTTGGCTTTCAGCTTTGGCTTTTCTTGCAGGACATGGCTTCGGATTGGCAGCGAGTGTAGTGTAGGGCCGGGGGCAGTTGACTTCGCATTAGCAAGTGGCGGAATCTTGTAGAAGCTTCAGCTGTGAGTTCTCTTTCCTTGTCGGCTTCTCATGGAGGTGCTTTTGTTCTCGAAGGCCTTGTGCCTTTTGCTGGTGTTGCCAAGTGCTGTTATACTGGTCCGCCAATTCCGTGCCATGCAGATCTGCAGAAGGCAGTGCGTGTACTTGGTCAGGATGATTCAGAGCTGCTCGCTGGCCCCTGTGCACCGACTACGTGGTGGGACGGCCTTTTTCGGAGCAGCTGAGCTGCATGGTGCAGCACAGAATGCGTGAATGTGGGCCGTGTGGAACAGCTTTGCCGAGGCCTTATCAATTTCTGTTGTCGAGTCACTCCGTGTCGCTTGGCGCTGCTGTGTGGGCTGCTGCTTAACTTGATGAGACGATATGGCTGCCACGATTCAGATTACTGATTCAGAGTTCGAGTGCCCAGAAGAAGAAGGCAGCAGTGGCTCCAGACACTTCGTAGCTGCCTGGGAGGAGGCGCTCGTGCGATTTGCGGATCCAGAAGACTATAAACTTATAGCCTATGACCACTTTCCATGTGATGTTGTGCATCATAAGCAGAGGCTGTTTCTCACAACAATGGCCCTCGTTGGTCGCTTCGTTTTGAACACCGGCTCGGACGAAAAGCAGCCAGGTATCATTTCAGCTTTCGCGTGTAAGCATGGTTGGCTCGGTCCTAGGTGACCGATTTTTGGCAAGGCCAAGATCCGAACCGGTTGCATGATGCGAAGGGTTTCCAGCTGTGTTCAGAAATTGGCGGGAGAGCCAGAGCAAGCAGGCAAGGGCTCCGTGGAGCCTTGTGGAACAGCTCGACTGGACTTCCCCCGAGCCTCGGATTGCTTTGCGTAAGCTATACCGGAAACAGATGGCCTATGATCCGAATGACCAGTCTGGTTCATGTCAAATTTACATTCGCAGTTGTCAGTGTTAGGCGATCCCTACTCGAAGGTTTCCTACTGTACCTCATGCAATTCACTCGCTTTCAGGCCATCTATCCCAAACTCTTGCATTCGAGCGTGGCTGCATGGCTTGCGAAATCATGCAACCCAGAACACTTGGAATCATTTCTGCAAGCAAAGACGTATTGCTTCTGAGCCCGAACTTGCTAGGATTCGCGGCACTCCGGAGCACGGCACGCCGCAGATTCGCGAGGAGGCTGAGTCTGGCTAGCCAGAGGGAGCATATAGTGAGGCCACGGCCGGCGTGCCTGATTTCAGGGTGAAGTATCATGTATGCTCCGATGTCTGAAAGAGCTCCAAGTTTGAGGGTGGTACTGGTTGACCTCACAAACAGTTTATGGCATTTCTCATCACATGGTTTGGAGATGGGAAGACTGGAGTCAGCAGGCCAAGCCCAAGGACAACCGGACGTCAATGCACTCCGAGACGGCTCAATGGGCTTCTGCCACGCCACAGCCAGGCCCAGCAGAAAGCACACCCCAGTCATTGAACACGCCCGACATGCAAGAGGATCTGCTTCGTCGACTAGTGTGAGCGTCACGAGAGGGGATTTTGCAGGATAGTCGTCGGGGTGGCGGGGGCCGATTTATTTGGATGAGATATTATGTGAGATTCTTTATCTTCTGCTGGCTCGCTGCGGGTCATTGGAAATGCCTAGAATTTCTGTAGACCGTGAGGCTGCTGTAGACACAAGAGCCCATTGGTCTCCGAGCTGCGGCCAGGTACAGGAACGACAGTGGCGCTGCATCCGCCGCACAATGCCACGAACACAAGCTTCCAACTTCGCGATGAGGACCTGGTATGTGATGATTGAGGCACTGATGCCATCAAGAACTCCGATGGATCATAACACGGGTCGCGATGTGACCAGGAGGAGGAGGAGTTCGTCATGCTGCCGGAGTCTACGGCAGAGTCACCGACAGGCCAAGGTACCAGCATCCAGTTTGATAGCGTGTTTCCCCAGCGCAGTTATGTAAAGCTTGTCGGAATGCATGGCAGGGTGTCAATGTAAGGTTTGATGCTCTGTACTCTACACAACAAGCACCAAGCATTGCCCGAGGGCGCTTCACCTGCCCGTGCCTACTTGGAGTTCTGTTTGCGCACATGTGTCTATAGGCGTGTTTGTGTGTGAGTGTAAGTGCGTCTCTGTGTGTGCGTGTGTGCGCGTGTGTCTGCATGCAAGTGTGAATGTGTGTGTGTGTGTGTGTGTGTGTTTTATCTATTTGTTTGTCTGCCTGCCTGCATACATGCATGCATGTATGTGTGGGCGCGCGGCATGTGTGTGTGTGTGTGTTTGAAAGTTCTGTTGTTTGTTTCGGTGTACCATGACCACTTTCACTTTCGTGTTGGACCCTTTTCGATTTTTTCCAGCACTCCCGTGAACAGCGTATGCGTTCTGTCGATTTGAGGACCCAACTGGAGACTAGACCATAAACGGGGCTTCGGCATATTGAACTGAAGGTAACTTTTGGACCTAAGAAGTCCCACATTCGCCTCCGAGACTCTACATCATCTTCGACTTGGAACACTTTCCGCGCCAAGCCCTGAGTCCGTGCTTGCATCGTTTCGTGACGGGAAGGCCAAGGGCGCTAGAGGTTCAAGTGGAAGGGGCGCACTATAGCCGTAGCGGCCTGTGGCATGATCCCAGGTCGACAGCAGGTTTTCGAGAACCTCTACTGGGAGCACTACCACAAGCAAGCAACTAGCAAGCATGTTTGTCTCTCCAGTCCCAGTCGACAACAGCAGCACCACCAGAACTGGCAGTGCGAGCAGCTTCAGCATCACGTTTTCCAGCACAGCTAGCAACACAATGACAGAAACCACCACCTACACAACCGTCGGAAGCACTGTGACCCGCAGCTTCACAACTTTCCATGGCACGGCTTCATTAGCAACCACAAGCCCGGCAACCACGCATACCTCAAGTTTCCAAACTACGTCCACCAGTGAAACAATCCCAACAACATCGAACCTTCGCACTACAGCGGCCTCGAGCGGCAGCACCCCGACCACGAGCATGACCACCATCGCTGACACAAGCACCAGAACAAGTCTCGCGGCCTCTGCCACTGACACCTTCACGGCAACATCCTCCACAACAAGTTCGGTCACCACATCTACCATCATCACCAGCTCCTCCAGCACTATGACTCGGACTCGGACGGACATCGTGACCCCAAAGTATACCGCCAGCAGTACCACCACATTGAGTGGGACCACCAGCTCCAACGCCATTTTTGGCACCTCCCCTGCGGAGAACGCCCACAGCACCAGCACAACTCGCAGCATCCACTCCAACAGCATGGCTCGCATCTCTGTCACCAGCACTTCAACCCTGACGTACACCCGTAGCACTAGCAGCACTGGTAGCACTGGTACGACTACCAGCCTGGGCCTGAGCACCGAAAGCACCCCGCACGGCTCTGCCACGAACACAAGTACAGCCTGCATCGGCACTTCCAGCACGACAGTCACGTCCGCGGTGGCGAGCAAGAGCACTAGTGCTAGCACCACTGCACTCACCACTACTTTCACCACTGTCACTGGCACCGCCACTGCAACCGGCGACACTGCCTTCAAGTTCCAACTCGAAGGCCGGTCACATATGCTTCATGTTTCCGGCCGACTCGTTCCCTGTTTGGCTGTTTTCCCGAGGCCCTTGGCTTCAGTGTTTAATTTGTTCATCGTTTCCGCTCTTTTTGCATCTTCTGGTCTCATTGCTGCAAGGGTTCTCGTCGGCCAGGTCCCAGTCCTGCTGTGCCGAACTGCTATTTGGAACCACTGGTTCCTAAGTCGGGGTGCCTCCGTGCAGCTGTGCTGGTGACTCGGAAGCAAGCGTGAGCACGTTATAGCGCGCTCTTGCACATTGCAATGCCAAAAAGCCCCCAGACTCTTCTGGTCTTAGCAAAAAGACCATGAAACTACGACGACAACGGCGACGACGACGACTGCTGCTGCTGCTGCAATGCTACTACATTACTACTACTGCTACTGCCATTGCTGTACTCCTAGTACTACTGCGACTGCTACTTCTAGTGCTACTGATACTGCTACTCCTGCTACTACTGCTACTGCTGCTGTACTGCCACTGCTGCCGCTACTGCTATTACTACTGCTACTGCTACTTCTCGTAGTTTGAGGTTGGAGTTCAGTTCGGCTTGAACCAGCTTGGCCAAGAGACGACTGGGAAAAGGATCTGCTTGAACCGCAGCCTGGCTGTGACCAAAGTATAGCCAGGGGCGTATGTGCTTTGTGGGTGGGTGCATGTGTTTGCCAACATGCCTGTTTGTCAGCCAGTGCTTGATGGCGTTGACGATGTTATAGAGGTCGGCCGAATGGCTTACGGCTTGCAGCTTTGGGGCGTATAGCCGTGATTCTGGTCGGATGTGCGCTTTCGATTGCGGGACTTTCGCCGTTCGGGCTTGGAAGTGTAGGCCGGCTGTTGGGTCCATGGATTTCAGCTTGCCCGCCGCGGCTCTCCCGATCCTCCCCCTACCCCAGCACGCAGCGCCGAATGCCCTGAGAAGGGAGCATCTATCGCACATGCATCTGAAACCTCGAAACATCACAATTACACCCCTTCGAGTGGCGTTCTGGATTCGACAGCCTCACGTAGCGGGCTAAACCCTTCCCGCCCTATCCGAAGCATCCCTAATCCACCTGCATGCAACATAGCCAGGCTTGCGAGAAGCGGGTCTTAACACATTCGCCTCCGTGCTGCAGATATCACATCACATTATGGCAGACTCGTGGGAGAAGCTGGGCTGTGGGGAAAGAGGTTGGTGGTTTTTGCGCTCGGCTATCTGCTCAGGTGTCTTAACTACTTGCTCAGTTGTTCTCATGGATTCGGGCTTTTGGGCTTTCATATGTCGTTTTGGAAGCGGTCATGCAGCTGCAGCTCGGGTAGCTGAGGCTTCTTGCACATGCCAAGGCGTTCACGACTTCCAATGATTCTGGTGGAGGGTGAACTGAAGAGAAATTGAAGAGACAGGTATTGTGAACACTTCGGATCTGTCGCAGAAGGCTTCGCATTTGAGATGTTCAGAGCTGGGACGCGGCAAAACGGAGCCCGGCACTCCACGAGCAGCCTCGGTCCTGCCAGGAGCATCCGAACTGGGAGTGGCCACTGGCTCTCGAGCCAATCTTCAATATACATAACCGTTGCATTCGTTTCTGGCGAAGACTGATCATCAATCTTGGATGAGTTGCAAAAACAAATCTGAAACTTGCAGGTAATCAACGCACACACACACAATTCTAGAGTTGTGCGAAGTACCCTGGCCTTTCCGGATCAGCACTGAGGTTTTCAGAGCCGGTGTTTGCGAACTCTGGAACTGCAGCACTCGCGAAGCCTTAAGGAAGTGCCGCGGCAGTGAAACTAAGACTGTGTGGGACCCTACTTGCAATCACGGCTGCTGGCTCCTGCAGAAGCAGCCTACGCCCCGGCTCGCAAACGAATATCTTTGCCGTGAGCATCTCGAGGTGCGCTGATGGCTTGCCACTCAGAGGAGGCAAGGGTTTAACTTCAAGAGCTATGTAAGGTACCAGGGCCTCTATCGTGTCTCCGTCTTTCTACACAGCACCAGAAGCTTGAAGCTGCAACGGTTTGGAATTGAGTCCAGGACATCAAAATTAAACAAAACTGACTGACAAATTGAACCTGAGTCTTACATTTTCGATAAGGCAGTCTCTTGCCCCGGCCTTGGAGGCACCTTCCTGGCGAGCCAAGATCGTCTCGTGACCACTGGACGGGATCGAGAACTCGCACTCCGGCATGAGTACCCAGCGTGCGGTAAACTCTATATCGCTAAAATGTCGATAAGTGCCCCCCGTCACGGAGTGATGCGACATTCGGTAAAGTGCTGCATGTCTGGACAACTTAACTATTGGGGTGACATCATGAATCAGTGGCTGCCCAAAACAACATTTCCTGCAGTCTTTTGCTGAAGAGCATAGGGCGATGCACACGCGTAGACGCGCAGGGCTCGCGACACACAGTGAAACGACGGAGGGTCGGGGGTGGGCTGAACCTAGGTCCTGGAAGAAGATGCTGTCGCAGGACTGGCACTGGAGCCTGGATTGCAGCAGAGGTCTGGAACGTTCGGCCGATTGTGGGTGTGAAGTTGTGTGAAGGACGGGAGTTGCTTCGCGGGATTGGACTGCAAACTGATAGGCGTTGATTTTGAATTTACCAGTCGCCAGTCGGCGAGACCCCAGCCTGTCCTTGAGTACGCCGACGCACGGGCTTTGTTACCAAGACTGTCTTCACCAACGAAGATGGCAGCGTCTCGTTGCAAAGCCGGGAAGGCCCCTGCCTCAGCGTGAGGTTGCCGGTTGGGGCACACAAAGGCCTTGGAACTTCCCAGCAATGTAGGTGTGGGAGCAAGCACACGTGAAGGGCTAAGATTTAGGGCGGGCCTTGAGTATGCTCACGCTATTCAAATGGCAACGCCGGACAAACATGGTACACATGCACATCAGGAGATCAGCGGGTCCACAGATACTGTTGTCTGCCTGATGCCAAGGTCGGTACGTGACGGCCCGGCCCGATGGCACCATCACGGCTTCGGGTCCAGCGCCCATGGCAGCACAGAGGCTGTGTGTCTAATGTCTTTGCGACTTAATGCTGCAGGATTTGCTAATTTGCGGTGTTGGCTGTGGTGAGGGCATAATTACCATGAACTGAAGTGCAGTAAGACATCGCGGTCCGACATGTTGCTTTCATTGCTGATCCGCAGACGGTGCCCGGACGCCCGAAGCCAAGGTCCTTGGCACATCGGAGAAGCTTCATAAGACGCCCTTGGGAGGTGCGCCTGAAGTTCATGGCACCAGTATGGCACGAGATGCTTGATGTTGAAGTCTAGGGAGCGAACCAGTGAGAACAAACAACAACGTAATCTAATACGGTTCGTGTCAGACCCGAACACTGGCTCATGTGTCGCACGTCCAACGTTGTGTGCGAGTCAATGGCAAGCTTTGGAGCTCGTTGATGATATTGTCTCTCTTACGCCGCCACGCACGGACATGAAAACATGTGCATAGCTGAGCATTACCCAAGATGCAGGTTTTAACTCATACAGTACATACAAGCACGCAATGCTCGCGCGAGCGGTGTGTAGCACTCTAGCCATGTCTAGTCTATTGCTATAGGCTGATCTTCAATACTGGTTTTGGGTTTTCGGATCCTGTTACGGTGTTGAGGGTAGGTCGTCACCAGAAAATGAAATACTGGCATCATTGGATCCACATGTGAATGACGTCGGCAATTGCAGCAGTGCTCACCGTTGTGGATAGTGGAAACTTCTGCAAGCACGTTTAGCCCCCCCGTCACTCCACGACATGTAGTTCGTCACTCCTTTACTCTGTTCCTGCCTCCCGCGCTCTCCGTCTCTCCCACTCTCCTGTCTCTCACTCGCTCTGTCACTGTCCCTCTCTGCCCGTATTGTTTATGCACACATTTATGGATACTGTACACCCCTGCATACACAAAGAGAGAGAGAGAGAGAGAGAGAGACAGAGCGATGGGGGTCTCAGGCGGGCCTCTTTCGGAGAGCAGGGGGTGTCACTGAAGACCGAAAGACCGGTGCGCGCACGCGCGCGAGGGCTGTGGCCCTCTGAAAGAGTGTAAGCAAGAGACAGAGCGATGCATTTTTCGCATGTATATATATATATATATACATACACATGTATATACACGTATAGGTAGAGAGAGAGAGAGAGGTACAGTGAGCGACGGCGAGAGTAAGAGAGACGAGAGCAGGCAGAGGAGCGCATGCGTGTGGGTGTGCACGTGTAGCTGCATCTGCATCTGTGTCTGTGCCTGCACATCTATGACAGGCTGACAGCAAGACATACATACATGCATACATACAAAGTTCGTGCAACCGTACCTGCATATATCAACGCATGTACACAAATGCATGGGTAGGTACATCCCAACATGCATACATACATATGTAGCACCCATCCATCCGTCCATCCAGTCTTATGCATACGTACGTACTTACATGGAAAGATAAACATGGATACATACATGCATACCTACATGCGTGCATGCATACATACATAGGTACATACATAGATACCGCATATGTAATGAAGACTTATATATGCACATAGGCGCATACATACTTAGTAAAATGATAGATGCATGCCTGCGTGCGTAATCGTGCATACACACAAATGTTCATGCAATCATGCATATACTATGCATACACGCCTACATGTACGCATGCATACACGCGAGCATGCAAGCATACATGCAATGCATATACGTGTACGTGCACTTATGCGTACATACATACATACATACATACATACATGCCTGCATATATGCATGCATACATACATACGGTCGTAACGTCTTTATGCATGTGTGTCTATGTGTGTAAGTACGTGTATGCATGTATGTACGTATGTATGTCAGGCCAAAACCAGATCTTGCATTGTCGCAAGGTCCCCCCAACTTAAACTATATTTTTTGAGTGTGTGAGTGCTTTCGTTTGGTGGTATGTCTGCATGTATGTCTCTATGCGTGCATGTATGTACTTATGCTGTATGCATGCATACATGCATAGTCTTCATAGTCGTCGAGTGCGAGTGACAAGAAATGTATATGCAGTATATGCATGTATGCACGTAGGTAGGAAGCAGGTCCGTCGGTAAGTAGGTAGGCACAGTAGGTAGCTACTTTGTGTGGGTGGTGGGTGGGCGTGCATTTGTGCATGCCTTCTTCATCTGGGCAAACAAAATGGAAACAAGATATTGAGCCGAGCTTCCGGTTTGCTTGGGAACGCCTGGGAGGCTCTGAGTTTGCTCTTCGAACTGCCCATGGCGCCTGGATCACCGGCGGGTTGGGCCGCCTGCGAGCCAGTGCTGAGGCGACGAGAGGCAGACAACCGAACGTTGTTGCGGATTCCAAGCTAGTTGAAAGGTATAGGTATAAGGTTCATTGGTATGCTGTAGGTGTACGTGCAAGGCTGAGTGGTGAATGAGCATACCACGAAGAGCCCTTTTTGGCTCAAGGCCCTTTACAGGTGGCTGTGCTGCTACATGTGGGGTGAGTGAGTGTGGCATGCTGAGAGAAGACGTTATGGGCAGCGCGCCTCGTCACGACCACTTAGGGGGCTCAGCCTGCATGCTCTGGCTGAGTTGGTGCGGCGCGGCAGTTTTTTCCACCCCTACGAGAAAAACCACAATCCCTCGACCCGGCTGAGGCCAGGAGATTTTTCTTGGTCCTGCATGGTACACTGGTACACCCGCTGAAACTCTCTGACTCTCTGCAACCTGGACGAGGATGCGATCGTTAGACTGCACAACTCATCGCCGTCAGCAGCTGGTTACCACACTCATGACTGGCTCCCGCAGGCTACATGCTGACCTTTTGGACTGCATGGAGTGACTCCGTGTGTGGGAACGAGTCACTGCATGCGTGACAATAAGTTGAGAGGAATATCAGTGCATGGGTGGAGTCACTGCATGCCTGGGAGCGAGCCACTGCATGCATGAGAACAACTTGCCTGGACTACCCGCGCATGAGTGGATGCAAGGAGGAGAACATCATTTAATTCGACACAGCAATCTAAGTGGCTGGGCTCACCGACTAGCCAGGAGCATAGGGTCTCTGCTTCATGGTTGTGCTTTTGCACATGTCGGTTCTGTCTGGCACCTTGTGATATTACTTCCTCGTCTAGCACTGTATGTTCACAATGTGCATGAGGCAACTGCTGGGATCAGCAACCGATTCAGAGCCATAAAGAGGCTGCACTGTCCTCCCTTATATCCTTGTATTACTCTCCGACTTGCTGGTCGCCTTTGCTCTGTCTCGTCTCGCCGACTAATGTAACATTAGCAAACCAGACCTCATGAAGCCGTGCCTGCGCTGAGCGAGAGTGCGAGACGGACACGGCTGAAAGCGTCCGCATGTAGCAATACAGCAGTATGCGCAATTTTCGGCATATATCCCTAAACTCCAGACAGGTATAGATTGCGTTGCATGCCAAAGCTGAGTAAAAGGAACACGATGGCAGACACTTGTACTGTTTCATGTGTGCCTGTGTGTAAGATCGTTGCACCAGTTCCAAGAGCTGTCGATGCTTACGACTCCTGTAATTGTACATCCCCCTCGCATGCTTTTGTTTGACAGCGAACGTAGGTTTCATGGCTTTCAGAAAGCAATGAACGTGGACTGTGCAATAAAGTCGATAGTCTACAAAGTGCCGTGGCCAAGCCTATACTTCTATGCATCTATGGATGATATAAGGATCATCAACGCTTTCTTTTATGTGTGAAAGCGACCTAGGTCTGTGATTGAGTAGTGGTGCAGACCTTAGAGTGACGTGAAGCATGCTTCTGCAGTGTCATCAGTAACGGATGTGAGTCCCGAACGTGAAGCGAGCAGACTTCACAGTTCACTTTTCCACTATCAGGCTTGAAAACCACCCAAGACTTGTCTGCTCCTGACTGGGGCACAGACCTCGGTAGCCTAAATATCAATATTCAGCGTCTCACTTCAATTCACATCACAGTTCTTCGCAATTGCAGGCCACTTCGTGCTGCACGTCCGCGACGGAGACAGTGCCACGTCGCCGGCCAGTGGCGACTTGGCCCGGCATGCACATGTTTCGACGTTTGGACACTTGATTTTTGTTGGCCCATGCGGAAAGCGACGCAACTTGGCCAACCAACTTGAAGTTGATTGAGGAGGTAGCTTCGAAGAAACTAGATGTAATTGGAATGTTGCTGTCATAGTTCTTTGGCATTTGGTCTTGCGCAGCGAGTCTCCAACCACAGCTGGCTTTCATTTTGGGTTTGGATGAATCAGACCTTTAAAGTTTCCGAGTTTTTGACTACTCGGTGTTCAAGGTCCGGAACATCATGTTCGCGCAGACTTTCGCCGGAATGTCGCTCCCACACGAAAACCCAAGTCTGTGGTTCCTGCAACTGTCGGAGCTCGTTTGGTGGCTTTCCGGCTGAGGAGGTCTTGCAGTGGCAGGAGTCTGCCCTCGTGCGCTGCGGTGTGCATGCATGCATATGTGCCCAGTAACACCGTGAGTTGATGGCGATTCGTGACAATCCGATCGGCGAAGGTTTCCGGGGCAGAGGAGATTCTCGAATCGAATGTCCGAAGTCAACTGTTTGCCAACTTTTGCCACGAGCTGTAATCTCCTGAATTCTTCTGAAGCTATCGGCATGGACTTTGAAACCTAGATGCGCGCTGCAAGGATGGTGTGTGTTTGTACTTCCTGTGATGTTCATTTCCTGAGCATAGCATGCTTTGCGATGTCCGTCTGCAGGAGCGTGCGTAAGTATTGTTTTGGGGTGAGGTAGATGGATAACAGTATTCCCGCTCCGTGCTGTTGAACCGAGATGGGGACTGTCGGCATGTTTGCGCATTCTGCTGCCTACGAAACAGGAACCGTTCCTTCATGCTCGATACGGACCTTGTTGTCCTTGTTCCGAGCTCTTCCGGAGTCCTTACGTCCGTTCAGTTCATCGTTTTTGGCTAGTTTTCAATCTGTTTTGCATAAACGCGTCACGTGTCCCTGCAAGGAGGCGCTGTCAATCCGCACAGGGTAAGCACAGACCCTGCGCAGAGGAGGACCACGGAGCCTCAAAATTCCAAGGCTCAGGTGGTGCCAAGTCTGTTGCAAAAGTGCCTGCGTCTCCAACCCTTCCCAGAACGCGCGCGCGCGCGATGTTCGAAACCGGAATGATCCCCTCGGGTATACTTAATGAATTTAGTGTGGAGGCATCTCCACACTGAGCCTAAATTTTTCAACATGTTGAACATCGCTGAGCAGCTTGCTGCCAGCTCCAGATCCCTTGCTGATGCAAGGATTTACCTGCCATCAGCGCCAGGCCGTTTTCATGCAAGTTGCTGATGTACATGCCTACCTCGACAGTACTCCACGACACTTTATGTGCTTTGGTGGTTGTACCTCCGGCAAAGGACACTGACAGAAGATGCGCAATTATTCGACATTGCTTCTCCCTTGTCCCCGACGTATAGATTGTTGAGGCAATTTAGTCGCCGTGGCTGCATGGTGGTCACAGTTTGTTGAGGTTGTACGTAACAGTTGCAGCATATGAGAGAGTATGCGTCGTGTGGAACACTGGCTGAGGCAGCGAAGGTCATCCACTGGCCCATCGCACATCCGCCACTGGGTCGCGTGAAAGGGATCATTATCTAAAGATGAACGTCAACAGAGACATTACATATGATTTATAAGGCACGAGCAGGCTGTTTCAGCTTCACCGGTGTTCCTCTCCACATTATCTCGACCGGGTGCAGCAGAGGTGCACAGCATGCTGTGCAGATATCAGGTCGGGACTGGGCTCTCAGTCTTTCTGGGTTGCTGAGTCAGGCCGAGGGTTGAAGGTTCATGATCTCAGGTGCAAGTTCAGGTCTTTTCCCGGACGGCCGAAGCCTGCTTGAAAGGGTCTTGGAAGCGCTGGGCATCGTGCTAGGCTTTGTGGTAAGGAACGGGTTCGGACGTAGGAATCGAACGGAACAGTCCGGGCCGAAGGCCGTTGCCTGTGACGTGGGTTGATCGTTTCAAGCCTTGTGTTCAAGTTTGGGAATTGGGCTAGGGATATTTGGGGGGATAAAATGGGATAAAGATGTTATACCGGCTGAGGTTTAGCGGCTTGGAGGATCTGAAGGGTCTGTGGTGATTAATCCCAACTCAGCCATGCAGGAAGCAAACAAAAATCCACAGCGAAACTTACTGATTGTTGCACCCTGGCAGCCACGTGAAGTCTTGGTATGCCTACCACTTGGAATCTAGTGTTCGTATGCATAATTACCCGGTTGTTCATGCCAGAAGCTCTGTCTCAATAGCTGATGATTTCTGAAGTCCATCGAGTTTGGAGTCTATAGAGTCTATAGAGTCTAGAGGGAGTGTGTTTGTACAGGAACTCATTGCAAATAGGACAGAAGCTCATAAATAAATATACGTCCACAGGAGCCCGTTGGCGGACTCGGTGGGCGTCAGCGGCGCAGCCCGAGCTACGTCAAACTGTGGGAGTGGAACTACGCCCCTTGCTGATGCCATGTCTTTTTCCTTGTTGTTTGAGGGCGGGGGGTGTTGTTTACGGGTTGCAGTGGGTTGTCCATCGTAATTACTTTCGATGTGTTCGTCACCATCGCTGTTTGTCTGTCGCTTTTGTTGCGTCATGCAGGTATCCGTATAGGGGCCGACGGCTCAACATGTACACGGAGTCAAGTTCGAGGGTCTGAGCGCTTGGGAGGCGGTCTGTTGAATGTTTGGGAATCCGGCGGTGAATGAAACGAGCGAGGAGGTCGTGCATAGCCATGTGAGTCTGGATGTGGGTCTGGTTGTCAGTCGACCCGTGCACGAGGCGGACGTCGCACGAGAGTGCCAAGAAACTCTGGGTCCGTGCTGTGGCCGAAATCGAAAGCCGCATTGTAAGCATCATCTTTGTTTGTACGTAATAGGGTCGGTGATGGCTGCTTAGAGGGTCTGGAGGGTCCCAGTATGAAATCCGTGGATCCAGTTCCGAGTCCGAAGCCCTGTACCGATTGAGGCAAGGCTTCGATGCCGTGCAGCTGTCGCCCTTCACGGAGCACGTGAAGGGCCATCAATGGTGGGTGAGGCCCGCACCGAAACTCTCGCAGAAGCGAATACGTTGGCTCCTCCTTGAGGCCGCGCAGCCCTCGCCTTGCCGCCTTGTACCGAGCGAGGTATCAGCCCGTGTCCTTCGGCCTCAACTCTCGCAGTGGAACTGCGCCGGAGCTTCGCCGCGCTGTGGCGACGTGCCGGGCAGCAGGTACTTGGCCTGCAGGCCTAGTGATGGTACGAGATGGTCATTGATGTTCCGGACAGTTCCGATACCAGTTGACAGCTGTCTGCGAGCATGCAAGCTTGAATCCCAGTGTACGTCACGAATACCACTGACAGAAGAATGAGGATGATGAATGATGTTGATGTTAAGAGAGAGCAAGAACATGATTGCGATGCTGGTGCGGCCAAGATGGGGCCTGATGCAATGAAGTTGTTGGTGAAGACGGCGAGATACACGGCGAATCCACGGTGACAGTCGTGATGCAAGCGCGTTGCGAATGCTGCAGACAAGACAAGCAAGACCGAGTTGATAGTGAGGATGAAGGAGAGGTGAACGAGGAGGAGGAGGTGGAGAAAGACGACAGGCGAGGACGAAGCGAGGAAGTGGTGACCAACTGAGGCGGCGCCGAAGTCAATAATGACGACCAAGATAAGGATGCGGATTATGTTGATCACGGCGAATAACGGGGACAATGACGACAACGACAGCACTGAACAGATGCGGCGGACGAAGAAAGACAGATATTGTAAGACTCGAATGAGGAAGTTGTTGTGTCATCACAACTTCGGGTTGGAATTGCTGTTCGCGATGCTTGATGATCAGTGCCATTAAGTATGGGATTGAGATTCAGCATCAAGGGGTTGTGGCTGTGCAGTACATGTTGTGGTTTTGGAGACTATATTCGGCATGAGGACAAGAAAGTGGCTTGAACTTTGTGTTTTGGTTCGGATGTTGGGATGGTCGGGGATGTTTGGGATACACGACGCAAAGCGCGGTGAACGATGGGACGCACAAGGGGCGTGGCTCTGAGCTGGTGGGCACTGTGCAGACAAGCTAGGCTTTCATGAATATTTACTCGCCATGCGGTTTGCCATCAGAATGCCACGACTGCCATCTCAGGAGTCGCCATTATCGCTGATGTCGTTCTGAACCACATGGCAAGGCCCTGCTACAGCGCAGAGGCCCAGACGAACGGCGCAACACCCTGCGCAGCGTGGCACGCACGTTCCAGTTTCAGTCGTCCAGTTTTACGTGCAGACATGTAGCCTTCAAGTTGTTTATGAGGGCTCCAAGAGGCTCCAAGTGTCTGAGACTTATTGGTTCGTCGCCGGCGAACGACTTTGAAGATGCACAGATCGTGTGGCAGGTCTTCCTCTGTTGGGTGGACATGCCGACACCCCTTTGAATGCATGCCTTTCGAAACGTACCTTCAGCATCCGCCCGAAATTCTGATCAAGTCGAGAGTGAGAGTGGATGTCGACACCGACTGCCTTTCCAGAGAGTAGCCATTCGAGCAACTGAATCCAGGTTGGTTGGAGCGGAACACGGTACGGCAACCGCCAAACCGAAGGCACGGCCTCCATTCATGTCATACAAGTAGAAAGACATGCTGATAAAAAAGAAACACTTACTCTTCTTGTTTTCGGCTTCGTTCTCAGCGCACTTCGATTTTGTTGTGGATAAGGACTGCCAGTCTTGTGTCGGCTACGGAGGTCAATGCCTCTCACTGATGTTTCAGCAGGCTCACTTCAATCATGTGTAACTTCCATGTCACTCGAGCGTTGCATGTTTCTGCTGTGAGCACGGGGACCGCAACCCAGCGATCCTAACGGTATACAAGTCCGGAGAGGTTATTTATGCTTGGAGAGTGGTTTTGGACTGAGGCGCTCACGGATGGGATTCTGCAGGGCCTAAGGACTTCCACCACCAGGTGCCGTGGCTTCGCTTTACCTGAGCATGACTCCGTGAATTCCGTTCAATGCTGCCGCGACCAATGCAGAAGAGTCTATAAGCGGCAAGCACACTTATCGTGAGGTCAAAGAAATCCTTCCGAGATCACCCAAGTTTGGTTGCTAGGGTTCTAGGGCGCCTACGTGAATAATGAGTCACTGTATCTTCCCTGAGCACGGGTATGGGCACCCGCCTTGTCAACGCCCTCAAGCGGTAAGCCGACTAGGGCCATCTCCAGGGATGCAGCAGCGCCTATCGGACTGGGTTGTTTTTTGGTGTAAACGACTGCGCAGAGAAGGGGGGGTGAGAGGTCCCAGACCCATCAGCCTAGCAAATCAGGCACGCCAACCGACAGAATTTTGATCCCATCCATAGC